TTTATACCGGGTCTTGTGCTGCCTACACAGTTAAAAATGAATCTGCATTTTATTGTTTTCAACATGATTTTGTAAGTTGAACCAACAAAGTTGGTATTTAAACTTAATCTGGGAAGTTTTTGCTGTCTCAACTAGTCTGTAATAGAGTGTTTGTCTCAACTTAAAAACATATGCTGAACCAGCATCCTTTAAGTTGCGCCTAATGCTTTCAATCAAGCAGGTAGCAGAATATGCACCATTAAGTCAGTTTGCCAACTACCAATTAAACACCAGAAGAAGTCAAACACATGGGATATTTTTCACCAGATTTTTGAATTGTTCAATTATCACATTTGGTAAGTAATGCTTCTTCAAATGTGCTATAACATGTAAAATGACATATGAACGATTGTCAATGTATTGTTCCCAGTATAAATGTTTCTAGAGCAGATTAGACCTTTGCTAATACTTGTGGTGTTTGGCCACAATTATAAAGATTAAAAGTGATCATATATTTTAATAGATCTCCTATTATTATACAGTACAATATATTTTGGAAAAATATAAACAGTAATTCATTTAAATATACTTTTCTTATTCTAAAGGTTGTTCCCAGAGAGCAGACTGACATATTAAAGGTGAGATTTTACCTGTATTTCCAGGGCCAGATTGACTTACAACATTTTACTATTATGATTTTACTAAACATATAAATCCTATTTTCTCATTCTTTAAAGTTGCAGCAGTCCCAGAGAAAGACTGACTTTCTACAGGTGAGATTTTACCAAATATATCCCATAATATGCTTACAGTAAACAAATATTTAAGCAAAAGTAGACATAATTTATATGTCAAAGATTTAGTGATTAATCTGATCTTGGTTGTGTACACTAATATGTTTTGGTTTATTTTTTTTTTTCTTTTATTCAAAGGATTACTACAAGCAGTGTGGGGCATTTGGTGTTGATAAATTAAGAGGAGCTGCAAGTTTTATAACAACCAATCAATGAATTCTTATAAGACACGAAAAGCTGAAGCATTGCTATCACGCAAGCAATGATTTATTAAACAAGATTTAGTGTACATGTTGTGTTTGTGTCTTTCAGCTTTAGTGTTTTAGATATTGTAATGTAAAAAAAAGAAGATTTTTACATTGTTTGTATTTAAATATAAAGCACACAGATTCTGAAGAAGAGCTGAGCAGAGGAATGACTACTGGAAATCAAAAACTGTTGATGAACATTGGAGCAGATATCTGCACTGCAAGAGTACACTGACTCAAAACATACTGACTCAAAACAGACTCAATACATTGAAATACATATGTTGAGATCAGATGTTCTTGTCTCATTTTTTTTCCCAGAGAGGCAGTGTTAGTTGCGTATTTTACAGTTTTACAGATATTTTATAAAAAATTTTCTCGTCTTGAGATTAATTTTACTTTACAATTATGTTGTAAAGAAATACTTTGTAAGAAAAAATACTAAATAAAAAGACAACTATGTTGTAAATACGTTATGTATAATTGCTAAATTGGGAGTAAAGACCTTTAATAAAATATGTAAAGTGTTTTGTTGTCAGTTGTGTTTAAACTAAACTTTACAAGTTCTGCTAACTTGATAAGGTAAGTTAATGTATTTACACTTTGCAAGTCCAGTTAACTTGAAATAAGTAGATGGCTCAATTATTTAACTCTGTCAACTAAACATTTTAACTTGGGAAAACTTAGAGAATTAAGTTAATACAATGCAACAGGATGACTTGAATAAGTTAAGTGAACTAACTATTTTTACAGTGCACCGCAAGGTTTTCCAGATGCAGTCATGCAGTTCAGGAAAAATCCTCACCAAACCGATCACATCCTGTTGTTGGTCATTAATTACAGATGAGACAATTCAAAAGACAACTTTTTAGAACTTCAGAATTTTTTTTAACAACCTCCATTCAAACAACCACTTCTGTGGAAACATCCAGGCTATCATCCCCCTCCTCAAGCTCCAAAGTATGTGACTGCATAGACACAAATTTAGCTTCTTGCAACTGCTTACTCTCAAAGGAAACCGTTTATTTTTCAGCAGAGGAAACAGAAATACTTTGTTACTGTTCATTAGCCAACACATTCATTGGCTATCACTCTGGGAAAGAAAAAATGACAGCCACCTGTTCTGCAACAACACAAAACCTAAAGGGGGAGGTCTTTCACAGAAATTAGAACCCAGAAATCTTAGAAAACACCACTGTTTTTACCCTAACACTCACCAAGAAAACATTCCAGTCAGTAACCATAAACTGTCACAGTCAGAGGAATGTGATGTGGGAGACAAGTTTGAATCTCAGCTCCACACTGCCATGACAAACATTTGTCCACAATCTGCCAAAGAAAACCCTTCCTTACTGAACCCCTATCAGGTCTTGAACAACTTGTCATCCAAGGAAAAGTGGCAAAGAGCCAAACCTGCAAGAAAAGGGGTAAGAGCCAAAACACTGAGACTGATCTGACCATATGGTTACACATTTCCCAATTAACAAAACTTTAAAAGTTGGTTGTCGCTGGATGCATTTATATAATTAAATTTGATAACTTTTCTGTTAACTTCGCAGTACTGGCAATCTTGTTTTTGTTTGCAATGCTCTTTGGATCAGGTAAGGAACAACTATGACCATATGGAGATACAGTATTTGTTGCTCAATTTATTTACTGTTGTTTGACACATCAGTGAAATTAGACTGCATTTGTATAATTAGTGAAGTGGAGAACATTTTGTGCATTGATTAAAAGAATATATGCACAGAAATCAACAGTTTCAAACTTTTTTTTTATTGAAATCAGGAAAGTTATTCCTGGAGAACTACCTTTCTGCAGATTTTAGTTGCAACCCTGACCAAACACACCAGTCTCTAATTGTCTGCTTCTTCAAGTTCAGCTGTGTTTGGTCAGGGTTAGAGCTGAACTCTGCAGGAAGGCATAACTCTCAGGAATAGGGTTAGTGATTTAGATTACCAACGATGTTTATTTTAGAATTGTCACAAAAATTATGGTAAAAAATAAATCAGACATTTTATTTAAACATACAGCAGACATAATTCAAATAAGTTTTGAGTTATATTATTTTTTTCTGCAAAAAATGTCAAAATATACTTATAAGGGTTTTTTTTAATACAGCTAAATTTAAAACTAACATGGACAGCTATCATTTAAAATCTGGATTTTGGAAATCCTATACTCCTATAACTCCTGTGAAAATGTGGTCTGTGATATTTGGCTTTACAACTGTTCTGTTTCCAAGATTGTCTGCACATCTGTGATGTTCTGGCACTTGAGGAGCAGAGTTTCCTGTGTTTCTCCTATAATTGCTTTGATTTATGTTGTGTGGAGATTTTGAAGTTATCTATATTTCAACCTACCCGAATTGTTTACTTATGTTACCTGGTATTTACCGATCTGTTACAATTATTGCTAAAGTCTTGATCATGCACACAAAGTGGCCTAATTTTTTGTGAGTAGCCTATTGGCTTTTGATGATGAATCTGCAAATTATTTATCAGCATATTAAAAACTATCTATAACCCAGACAGCACACATACGTTGGGCCGACGTCGTGCCGACTTTCAAAATTCCATCGGCGCGATGTCGCTCAGGGAGCGTTTGCTAATTGGCAAAATGTCGCCGCGACGTCGGCAAATGATCGGAAACGCTGTCCGGCCGATGTTAGGACGACGCAACCGGAAATGCCGGCCGCTCCGCGGAGGCGCTGTTCTCAGGCGTTTTGCTCATACTTATGGACCACTAGCTGCAGCAGCTGCTTATAATAAACACGACACACCACTCTCAATAACAGTTGAAGATTTATTAATATTTTCACAAACATACAAATAGATTAACATACTTTTATCACACATAACCATGTTTTACCACGTTTAAAACAAAACCAACAAGTTGTACTATAACCATGGCTGAACTGCTGTGCAATAAAGATTTTAAATACAAAGTCCATTGCAGCATTTACATTAAGACCATAGGAATATTTAAAAGTACTTCAAAACATGTACACTAAGGGTGACTATAGTTTACTATAGTAAAAACACAAATAACTTGTGTCAACACATGTTATAATGCTTATAATTTCTTAAAAAGTGTTAAAGAAAACGCATGTTTCCAAGACTATAATTTTAAAATACAAGATAATACCAGTCATGTGTTCAGTATCCAAAAGACTTTCTTCAGGGAGTTACAATAATAAAAGAGTACACAAACACAAAATAAATACCAAGCAAACAATATTTACAGTAGTAAATACAATCATACAAATTAAAATAATTGTCTGATAAAATCTTATTAAAGTCTGTAGTCAATTTATTTTTTACAATTTTTTTATAAATGGAATTTAACAATTTGCAATCTCCTCTGAACTAATAACACATCAATAATATAAAATAACAATACTTTCTCAGAGATAACCAGTTTTTTTAAGCAAACTCTAATGCACAACACAAAACAGATTTTGTCATTATATATATATATATATATATATAAAATCCCTTAATTTCTGTTTAACGGAAATATTTTTAACACACTTCTAATCACAATAGTTTTAATAACTCATTTCTAATAACTGAGTAAATAATATTTGACTAGATTTTCTTCAAGACACTTCAATACAGCTTAAAGTGACATTTAAAGGCTTAACTAGGTTAATTAGCTTAACTAGGCAGGTCAGGGTAATTAGGCAAGTTATTGTATATCGATGGTTTGTTCTGTAGACAGTCGAAAACAATTGTTTAAAGGGGCTGATAACATTGACCTTAAAATGTTTTTTAAAAAATTCAAAACTGTTTTGATTCTAGCCGAAATAAAAGAAATAAGACTTTCTCCAGAAGAAAACATAACATTTTCTTGCTCTGACCTATATATATATATATATATATATATATATATATATATATATATATATATATATATATATATATATATATAAAACTGGTTGTAAATTGTGTACAATGTGCCAAGAAAACAGACAAAATGAAAAGAAATAAGCTGCCATTTAGTTATCTTGTGGAATGTTGCTTACACATAAAAGGGGATAAATAGGTGGAATAAAAAATGTGTCGCCATTCTCTAAATTGTTCTTGTATGTTGTCTTCATCTTTAGTCTTCACAAGTGAGGCTGGCCCAAACCGGGACTGCAGTAGCCAAATCTAATCCTTGTAGTGGGAACCCTTAAATAAAGCAAGAAACCAAAAAGAGAAAGATTAGCATTGCAGCAGTTCATATTACCACAAATATATATTATTTGTTTCATGACATACAACTGGAGTATGTGTTATGCAAGTGCCTAGCTAAAATGTGTCATTTAATTTAAACGTAAAGAGTGTGTCTGAGCACTAATTTTCAGAAAAGCCATTTGAAAGTTAAATTCCTTGTGAAATCATAATGAATGTTTTTTTTTTTTTTTTTGGTTTTTAGTATCATTGTGTTAGTATAAATCTGTATCTAAATATATGTCTAATCTTCAGATACCACATTACATGCAAATTAAACTAAGTTTCGTCAACTAAAATGTCACACTGTACACCACATTTAATATATCATAGCTAGGGCCAGGAGGAATCTGCAGATGTTTTTTGCTATTTCTGCTTAAAATTTTGGTGGAAGTCTGCGGATTTCTGCGGAATTATTTTGGGAGTATCATAACTAAAACCTTAATATATGAAATAAAAAATAATATATTTTTAAGTTTTATTTAATGTTTAAAATGCAAATCCAATTAGATTCACTTTATTTGGTAAATAAAGCAAGTTTTTCATATAACATATCTAGTAAGACAGAAAATATTACTGTACAAACTGCATTGTACATAAATCAGATGAACATTTTCACATTAGTCAATAATATTACTGAAATTAATTAAAAAACTGAATAAATATAGATTTACACACATTTACTCAAGTAAATAAACAGAATTAATGATAGGCTAAACATTTGCGGAGTTCTGCGAAAAATCCGAGTGGGCCTAATCATAGCTTTATTTCTGCTACAAAAAGGTTTTTCAGCAAACAACTTCTACTATATGTAGGCTATAGAGGAGGATATATAAAGAAATGATATATTCAAGTCTCTAATTAAATGCACCTTATGCAGCTAATCAAGTCTTTTAGGCTTATTTGAAAACTTAAATGACGTGTTGGACCACAGTTGGACAACGCTCAGTGAGAATACTTTTTTGCACAAATTCTTTTTGTTCTAAAGAAACATGTCTGATTGCTAGCAATCATCAAAGAGCAAGCTTTTTTTTTTCAAATAAATACTATGCTCTTAAAAATAAACTTTTCATACATCAAGAATACTAAAAATATGTTTATTTAAAATGTTTTATATTTAAAAAAAAACAGCTTGAGGAGATAATCAGTACATTGGAGTACTATTTTTTCAGAAGGATCATGTGACACTATTAATTATATACATTGTATTAAATTCACAGTATTACTGCTTGACTGTATTAATTAAATAAAGTTGACACTATCAGAAGAGAATTTACTAGGGATGTAACGGTATTGTAAATACCGTCATACCGCAATATTAAATTTTTCGATATTACCGAAGTCGCATGACTCGGTAAAACTATAGGTCTCCTGAGAAAATTTGCTCAGGCGAATGAAGCGAACGGGACGTAGCTGAAACTACATTTCCCATCAGCCCAGGCGTGGCCATAATCTTTTGCGGTCTGTTGTCGCTACAGATCCAGTAATGCGGAAATGGAGTGTGCTGCTAGTAGCGGAGATGAAAAAAAGATAGAAATGATCGAACCTAAAGCGGGTGTTGTCGCCGCGCGCGTGCTGAATAGCGGTGCTGTCGCGCGCGTTCTGATCAGCTGTGTTGTGGCGCGCGTATTGTAAAGCGCCGAGGGGGGGTTGAGCGCGCATATTCAAGAGAGGTGTTGTCGCGCGCCTACTGAAGGGCTGGATTGGACGGAGGTTGTGTCGCGTCGCGGGGGCACTTTTGATCGTTTTGGAAGGGCATTTTCTATCCAAGACTAAAAAGGGCATGTACACTGCACAGGTTGAGCCCTATGTGTGCACGTGCCTGCAAGTTGGGGAATACGACTAATGATCAGTCATGGGGACTGCAGAAACACAGCACACTGTTCAGATTGATGCAGACATGAGACCTCTATCTCACTCATGGTTTGTCTTCTCAAGTGGGGAAAAGACAATGCACAACGTTACCACACTGCTGTCAACCTGGGCCAAGTCATATCTCTCTTGTCCCAGAAACCTCAGTCCCAAATGAGAGGGGTTTTTTCTGTTGCAGGGGACATTGTAAATACCCAGAGATACCAGCTTTTACCAGATTATATTTATATGATAATTTTCCTTTAAACCCATCTCTATCTAAGTGAGTGAGTGATTAAATGTTGAATGTGATGAGTTTTCAACAATACTAAATTGAAACTTTATTTTTTTTACATGGTTTAATATTTTTTTGTTATTAAAATTGAAGTTAGTGTTTCAAAGCTTACAGATAGATGACTAATTTGTATGTCATTGACACTTTTGGCACTTTTTTGGAGTATTTTCATAAGTTTTGTTTTTTCCTGTAAATGATTCAATAAATACCGTACCGTGACATTCATACCGAGGTCTTACCGTACCGTGAAATTCTGATACCGTTACATCCCTGGAATTTACCATACCAACCTAAAAGCTATGAAACAGTAGTGTATGTTTAAGATGTTACTTACTAGTCCTGTTGTACTTTGGAGAGGTTGTCTGACAGGAGGATCCCTTCAACTCAGCAGAATTCTCAGCAGACCATCAGCGTACACCAATCTAAGAATAAAATAAGCAATTTGTTAAAAACCAAAAATATATATATTTTATATTTCCAGGTTTATAGGAAAGAGGAAAGCTAAAGCAGATTTAAAATGTAGAAAAAAATAAAACCTATTGACAATTTAATGGCACAACATACCCCACACTAAGCACGCTCAAATGGTTAATTTTAACTGTTAAGGATTCATTCATTCATTCATTTTCTTTTGGGCTTAGTCCCTTTATTAATCTGGGGTCGCCACAGCGGAATGAAAGGCCAACTTATCCAGCATATGTTTTACGCAGCGGATGCCCTTCCAGCTGCAACCAATACACACTCATTCACACACACTTATACACTATGGTCAATTTTAGCATACCCAATTCACCTATGTCTTTGGACTTGGGAAAACCGGAGCACCCGGAGGAAACCCACGCCAACACGGGGAGAGCATGCAAACTTCACACAGAAACGCCAACTGACCCAGCCGAAGCTTGAAGCAGCAACCTTCTTGCTGTGAGGCAAACGTGCTACCCTCTGCGCCACCGTGCGGCCCTGTTAAGGAATCAGATTAATATAAATGAGTTGACATGTTTATTTAGTGTCTAACACATTAAATATTGCATTTTTAAATATTGTTTCATTTTAAGATTTATTTCAGAATTAACTATAGAACCTGGATATATCGTCACATTTTCATACACAGCAGCATTTCCAAGAACATAGAAAAACAGAATATAGGACAACTGAAAAAATAAATAAATAAAAAAATTCTGAGGGTATAATCTTGGATAAAAATATCACAGTTTCACAGTATTGTGATTACTGCTCTGAAATGTGTTTTTTTAATCTCTGTGTAAAAAACAGCTACTTTTCCCCCATTGAACACAATATGTTTTATTTTAAGAAACATTTAAAATATTTTGTAACAGTAAACATGCCAGGCTAAACAATAATTTAATAAAATAGTACTATCTTCATTAGACTCAAAAACACTGATTTCTTGTGAAGGCATAATAAGCTATTTGTTTTTCAGATGTTTGCTGAATCGTGAGCTGACCAGTAGCTTTTGATGTGGAGGGTCTTTTGCTGCTGTAGATAATGTTGGACTATTTTTTTAAGTCTTTGATAACGCACTAAAAACCATATACAATGCATCCGGAAAGTATTGATAGCGCTTACTTTTTCCACATTTTTAATGTTTCAGTCTTATTTCAAAATGGATTAAATTCATTAATTTCCTAATAATTCTACACACAATCCCCATAATGTGTGTTGACCCGATTTTAGTTAATCATTTACAAGTCAATATTGCCTATATGGATTGTGATTTAAAAAAAAATTAACATGTAAAATTGCAGTGTTAATTGCAATGCCATCAAACATTTTAGACGCACCAGTGCAAAAAGCTAGTCTAGAGCACTTGGAATGCTGGTGTAGTTCTAGTTAAATTCAGTTCAGTTAAAGCTGTATATGCAGCCGGTCTCAAGTTTAGGATTTAGTATTTAACTAATCTTAACAACTAAACATTTACGACTCTGTATTAGCCAGCTCATGTACTACAATGTAACATACTGTATATTGCCACCTTGATACTTAAGCTTTCTTTAAAATATTTTGTGTTCAACCGATTAATTAATTCTTTCATTTAATTTTTTCTGTGCAATAGTATCGCTTACACTGGTGTATTTGTATGGACCCCCCAAAATAGCGGAGGCCACTTTCTGGTCACCCAAGTATAAACTTCTAGCCTAGCCACTGTGAACTACCTGTCTGTCCTGCTCCAGAACTCTTTGTCGGCTGCTTGTATGTCTGGATACACCTGCACAAGTCTTTTAACACTGACAAATACAGCCTCTGCACATCCTCACAACCAGGAGAACAGAATGATCAGGAGAACCTAAAAAATATAACCAACTGAAATCCGTTGAAATGTATTTTGTCTTGTGATGATGACACAAAAATAAATTATTTTTCACAAAGGATGTGCTGTTACCTATGAAACGGCCTATAATAAATGATCTTTTGATCCTGTTTCCTTGATGTCATTCACTCAGAGATGGTTTGGACATTTGATTGTATCTAAACTGTAATGAATTTAAGTTACAAAAACATTGATAGCAGGACCATTGATCTTGTAACTTATACAAATTGTTAAGTATTGAAGAAGTCTGCAACCAAACTAGTCAAGCTAATAATACTAATCTCAACTCAACTATGATAAGTTGTCTTGTTTCTGCTGCCCAGACGGTCTCTCCACCTGCTGATAAAAAAGGAAAAAGTATGGTATTTTTCCAACAACGAAACTGCAAACAACTTAACTATAAGGGGGTAAGCAGTGAGCATCTTTTATTATAAGCAATTTACTGAATACTTTGTCACTGGTATTACCTAAAAACCAAACGTCCCAAGTTTGGCTCATAGCTGTCATGTCCACACATCTGCCCAGTAGCTTGTGGTAATACTGAAGACACTGATCAGCTGGTCCAACTGAGTTTGGAGTTGAACTGCAATCAGGCATCCAATACTGCAAAGAAAGAGAAACTCACTTTGGGTTAACAAATAATGTAATCCCATCCACACATTTCAAGTAATTGTGCAGTTAATTCTCTTATTGAATTTTCTGAGAGCTTATGAATATATTTTGTCTTCCCAAAATAGCATGTACTGAAACACAACATTATATAAATATAATTTAATAAGAGCGTGACGTGGTGGCACAATAGTGCTGTTGCCTTACAGCAAGGATGCTGACTCGAGCCTCGGCTGGATCAGCTGGCATTTCTGTGTGGAGTTTGCAAATTCTCCCGGCGTTTGCGTGGGTTTTCTCTGGGTGCTCCGGTTTTGCCTACAAGTCCAAAGACATGGTGTACAGGTGAATTGGGTAGGCTAAATTGTCTGTAGTGTATAAGTGAGAATAAGCGTATATGGTTGTTTCCCAGTGATGGCTTGCAGCTGGAAGGGCATCCACTGCGTAAAACATATGCTGGATAAGTTGACAGTTCATTCCGCTGTGGTTACCCCAGATTAATAAAGGGACTAAGCAGAAAAGAAAATGAATGAATAAATTTAATAAGAGTTAAACTGATTTGTTAACATGTCTGTCAGGAGCTGATCTACCTTTTAATTAATTTTTTGCTTAATTTTTTTAACAGGTAAATCAATAAATAAATAAATAAATAAATAAATAAATAAATATATATATATATATATATATATATATATATATATATATATATATATATATATATATATATATATATATATATTTGTACAAAAAAATGGTTCCAGTAGTAATGCTCCTTAAAATTAAACTACATATTCACATTCCTCATCTGTCTACTGTTACATTATACTAATCACTGTTACATAGTGGCCGAGAGTGCAAAGAGAGTAATAAAACACAGACAAAGAAGACAGCTTTGTCACTTTTTCTATGCTATTTGTGAGATTGTGTATGTTGTCAAACTGATGAAAATGTTTTCTCAATTTACATTAACATTTTTGTGTTTGTTTATGTTTTTATAACTTGCAGCCGTTGTTAAATTTAAAAGTATTTTAAACATGCATGGACATCTAAATGCATATAGGGCACATATCTCAAAACATTATGAAATATTTCCAGATAAATCAATTTTGAATTAAAATGTATATTAATCTCCAGACTTGCATCTCACTGATCTTTTTAAAAGAACGGCACCTCGTTTGCTCATCACTGTTTGACAAGTGTCTGGCAGTCAGTCAAAAATATACTTACATATAAAGATGTTCATCAGCAACACGGCACTTAGGTTAAACTTAGACCTCCTTTTCAGTTGATGTGGAAAACAAAAGCAAAAGAAAGAAAAAACAAAACGACTGAATACAAGTTGCATATCATGCCTGTACAAATCAAAAATTATTCATTTAGGGCTTAAATTGACTTGTTTGAGGATGAGTTAAGGTGTAAGGGATGGGTGAACAGTGTAAATATACATGTAATTCATAGCTATGATGTAAAGCTAAATTTTCAGCATCATTACTCAAGTCTTCAGTGTCACTTGATCTTTCAGAAATCTTTTTTTAAGATGTTGATTTAGTGCTTGAGGTTGAACTAATATAATGGTGATTATCAAATGGTGCTGATTTGCTGCTCAAGAAACATTTCGGATTGCTATCAATGCTAAAAACAGATGTGATGACAAATAATTTAGTGTAAACTTTTTTCTAAGATTTAATAAATCAATTAATCATAAAAAATTAAACAAAATGAAAATCACAAATATTACTTCATTAGCAGCAAATCTATATATTTACTAAGTTCTGAAGAATCATGTGATGTGAAATTTAATACCACTCACATGTTTCAAATGTCAAAACTTTCTTAAAACAACTGCAATAAAGACAAGTAACAGATGCATAATATATAGACATGTAACATGTGCATAATGATGTGCAATGGAAATTCATATGAATTAATCCTCTGCTTAAAGTTACCTGTCTTTCCTGCATCTCTGTGATCAGCTCCCTTCAGAAATTTAGGAATCTTGAGTTATATTTTCTGTAGCAGGAGGTTATTCTCTCACTCCTGAAACCACAGAACACTTTTTTACTTAACATTTAGTTTAAGATACCATGAAATATCAAAACACGATTGAACTTTTGATTCACGGTCCTTTACAGTAACATTACAATGCGTATTTTAGACTACATATGAAGTGCATTCAATAAAACATTGACAAAACCTCTCATCTACACATAAAGAATAAATAAAAGCCAAAACTTTAACAAACAAGTTTAACAAGAGCTAACATTAAGTAAGTTAACGTAATATTACCCCGACGCTAACGTTACCAGTGCTAATATGCTAACGGACTTTTACGAAGACTTACCACTCTTATATAACATAATATTCAACTGAATATTCATCAATTGCCAATAATAAATGTGTGAGGAACAGTTTTATGTAGTATTTGCTTTGTTTTAGGGACTAAACTTACCTGAAAACAGTCAAAACGGCAGCTTGAGAGAAGTCGTGTTGTGTCTTTTAGGTGGTGTCGTGTCGTGTTGTAGCTTCGTTTCCCATAGCAACATCCCCTCCGCTCCAGTGTTGGAAGACGCGCGCGCGCACATTAAAGTCTTGCAGTATTACATTTATAAACATGATCACTCCATAGACAATTTAAATAATAACCTTGTATTTTAAATCTTGAATTTAAAATGTATTTAGCAGTTTTATATACGCTATTATCTTTAAGACGAGCTTTATAGACTACTAAACTGTTACAAAACAAACACTTTATTTGTGCATCAGATTCACTGTCAAAAATAAATAACCAATAAATATAAATGCAAGTATATATAAAACAAAGATGTCACTCTGTAAAAAGGTGTTTATTTTAATTAAACAGCCGAATTGCAGAACATACTTGATTTTTACACTGGGAAAATGTATTAGAAAAAGCCACAATAAAAAAAAGCAAACAGCAGTTAACACCAGAAAAAAACAACGTTTTCATTATTAAAGCATAACAATAAAACTTTTTATATTTTAATGAATTGAAATCAAGTATTGTAGGCATTTTGGTCAGTTTTACTGTATTAATGTAGGCTATTTAAAGCTGGACCGACCGACGCAGTATAGACATGATGCATGTCGCATTTGTCTAATTTATTATGCACGCAAAAACCTACTTGTAAACCAAATATGTTGCCGGATTCTTTCATGGGCATGAGAGATAAAGTGCTTATGAAGTGCTTCGTCGGCCTCTGGTCGTTAACCGATGCAGAGCCGACGTTTGTTGAGCTGGAACAATAGAACACACGACCGAACGATCATGCGTATGTTTGGCCGACCATATACCGATGTTAGAATTAAAGGGGCCGACGTGTTGACCTTCGGCCGACGTCGGCCCAACGTATGTGTGCTGTCTGGGAATAGTATTTCTGACTCCTGGTCTTTTAATTGTAACTTCCTCTGCACTTTTGACTATTATAAACACCCTGTACATATCAGAATTTAAACCTTTCTTGTTAGTGTACAAATAAAACATTAGAAAAAAAGTTAATTTTATTTTTAAACACCATACAGAGAACTTGCATTGGTCCATTGTAAACTTCATTTCAGTGCATTATTTTATTTAGAAACAAGAGGGGGGATAGCTTAATTGTTTGTTCTAAATTATTATTTTTTATTAACATTCTAATGATTTTTGTTGGGGCGACGCGTTGGCGCAGTAGGTAGGGCTGTCGCACCACAGCAAGAAGGTCGCTGATTCGAGCCTCGGCTGGGTCAGTTGGATTCCTGCAGGTGCTCCGGTTTCCCCCACAGTCCAAAAACATGCAGTACAGGTGAATTAGGTAATTGTCTGAGTGTGAGTGTGTATGGATGTTGCCGAGAGATGGGTTGCAGCTGGAAGGGCATCCGCTGTGTAAAACATGTGCTGGATAAGTTGGCGGTTCATTCCGCTGTGACGACCCCATATTAATAAAGGGACTAAGCTGAAAAGAAAATGAATGAATGATTTTTATTGCGTTTTCAAATTTAATACTTCATTAAAAATGATTATTGCTGTAAATAGAAGGCAAACATCACCACTAGAAACCAAGACCATTAGCTGGCTAGTGGCTACTATTAAACAGAATATAATTTATAGCCATAAAAATTATAGATTTTGTTTTGTTTTTCTCAGCAAAATGCGTGACATAATAAAAGACTTTGGACAATATTTCAACCATGAGAGTTTCCAAAATAAAAGACTGAAGACGCGTGTGATAACCGTATAATCAATTGATGATTCTTGTTAACAGCAAACATGCGCTTTTGCTGCTGTACACAAAGGCAGGCTGAAGCGAGGCAGTCCCCGCAGTAACGGCGTATCCATGGAAGCCAAACAACAAACACTTCTTTGGTGCGCAACGTTACAGTTCACTGCAAGTAGCTGTGGACACTGGTGAACACTATTGCTGTTCTCCGGTTGTTTTTATTTTAGCGGCATTTCAACACCTGTTTCATTCATAAATTCCTGGTTGACGATCAGGTGTTTACCTTGTTGTGTACCCGTGCTAACGTCTGTCCTTTGAGCCTTTTCATCACAGCTGAAAAGAAATGGTAAGTACTGCTTTATTAGATTTTTCTTTGTCCGAAGGTTGTTAAATATTTCTGCTTTAATTTATCGATACTAAACTATAAACTGCTATTAATAAGCTGCTTTATTTATTTCTGAATTAGGGCATGTCTTTGTTCAGTGATCAAAACAATATGATTTTGAGTGTGCATCTGTAACGTTGTCTCATTTTTTTCATAAAAATGCCTAATAATAGCATTTATCGGATTGTTACTCTGTAATATGTTCTACAAAATAAATACCACCTAAATAACATGTTTTTGAAAACTAAATAAATAAAATGTTATTGCTTTTTCATTTCTAACAGAATTTAACTTAAGAATCTAACTACCCAAACTTTATACATGCCAATGGATTTAACGTTATTCTATCCCTACAATCAGGCCTATTATTTAGCATTTTAGATTAGTTTTGAAAAACATAGCAATTTAGCTGAAAAAATTGTATATTAATGCTGATAAGAGTTTACTTAAACACACATATAGGTAATTGCTACATCGTGACAGCTGCTTTTTTGGCAACATTTAAAAATAATCTTTAACACTGTTCAGACTTTATGTACTGCTTGCAAACAGGCCTAATACTTAAGTATGCTGGCTGTGTGACTACATTGCAACCAATAATGGTGTCTATAGAACATAACAGGTACACTTTTCCATAGATAACAGTTATGGGTGTTTACATAAATGTTGTAAAATGTAATAATAATAAAAAAAATAAAAAAAAGTTGAACTGTTTTTGTTGTAGTAATCATCAGTCACAAATTATAGTTATAATTAGCTGTTCACAGGATATTTGTTCCAGGAAATATAAAAATGATTTTGATTCACATGCTTTCAGCCTCAAAGTGCTGCATCCTCAAGTGGAAAGCTTTCAGGCGGCAGTGCTTTCACTCGCCGCTATCGCACACGAGCTCTGACCTCTCATGTGGACGAGAGTCTCTTTGGGAGCCCCAAACTGGTAAACTGCACATACACATTACAAAGATAAAGGGACAGTTTTTTATAGTTATAAAAATTATTGATATTCATTTTCATTGTAGTTTTTTAGATGCTAATACAGTATATTTTCAATAAATTACACCTCAATTTCACGGCAATTTGGAACTTTTTGATTTAGTGGCTAATTCATATGAATTTGGACGATCTAATTCATAAAATTAAGTACAGTTTGCTCATCACCCAATGACAATTGGGTTTAGGGGCAAGGCTGGTTGTCACGTCTTTTAAAATCGTACATTTTCGTACAATTGAACTCGTACAAATTTGTACAAATTAGACACTAAACTGACAAAACATAAAATACTTAAAGCTTACTAAAATAAATAAAGCTTAGTGTTTATTCTTTAGGTTAAGTATCTGTTTAGAAAATGGTTTTTATTTTGACTAGTATTTTATTCAATATAGTGCTAGATACTCGTACTTAATTATTATGCTGTACTTTTTTATATAGCTTATAACTACTACTTATTCAGGTACCAGTAAATATCATCACACACCATTGTCATGATGTGTAAAATTCATTCATTTTCTTGTCAGCTTAGTCCCTTTATTAATCCGGAGTCGCCACAGCGGAATAAAGCGGCAACTTATCCAGCACAGTTTTACACAGTGGATACCCTTCCAGCCGCAACCCAGGGAAACATCCACACACACAATCATGCACTACAGACAATTTAGCCTACCCAATTCACCTGTACCGCATGTCTTTGAACTGTGGAGGAAACCAGAGCACCCGGAGGAAACCCACGCAAACAATAAAGTAATATTATAGCATGTTAATAATTTACACCTATAGGCAATTTCAATGTGGTATTGTCACTGGCCTATGAAGATTTCCTGCTTGTTGTCAAACTAATTTATTAACTAAGAAGAGGCAACTGCATCATATTTTAACGTTAAAACAGCTGCCGCATTATTTATCAATGTGGACCTTTCAGGATTCTCGGAAGCCCAATCATTGAACATAAATAATAGAACAAAGAGCAAAACATCAATGTTTCTTTGGTAATCATTGACATGAAAACTTGAACTGTGATGTAATAACTGCAGCTGATAATGATGATGCTGTTTTTGGAGTTATAGTGACCCTCTGCTGAGATCTTACAAATCCATAACTTTAGCCACAGCCATATCACCCTGCAGCCCAAGACCTTACTGAAGCTATGCATTGTTGAGTCTGTTCAGTACCTGGATAGGTGACCATTTGGGAAAACCGGGTTGCTGTTGGAAGTGGTGTTAGTGAGGCCAGCAGGAGGAACACAACCTGCGGTCTGTGTGAGTCCTAATGCCCCAGTGAAGTGAAGGGTACACAACACAGTCAGTAAGCGCCATCTTTCAAATAAGATGTTAAACCAAAGTCCTGACTCTCTGTGGTCATTAAAAAATCCCATGGCACTTCTCGTAGAGCCCCAATCATCCCCATTCACAGAATTCACTCTTTCACCATCTCTCGTCTTCACCAATAGCTGATGTATAGTGAGAGCACTGGCGTCGTTGTTTTGTGGCTGCCGTTGCATCATCCAAGTGGATGCTGGACACTGGTGGTGGTGTGGAGAGATGATTGTGAAGCACTTTGGATGGATGGCCATACACAATAAATGTGCTATTTAAATACACATTACACATCACATTACTAATCAAGAGTTTAAATCTGTGTTCAACATGAAGTTGACCCCACCTTTGCAACGATAGCAGCTTCACTTTTTTTGGAAGGTTTCAGAGTGTGGGAATTATTGACCGTTTTTTCTAGATGTTTATATGTGGGAATTAGAAGGTCTACTGGCCTGTATCTCTTCTTTAATTTATCCCAAAGGAATTATGTCTGGTTAAGGTCAGGAGTGGTGCATGGAAGTAAATGTTTCTCAACACCAACTTGATCATCTCATGTTATGGAACAGGAAGGGGCCATTGCCAAAATGTTCACATGAAGTTGGGAACAGGAAATTTGTTAAAAATATCTTGGGTGCATTTAAACATTTAGTTCTTTTTCTAGAGGTCAAGGCCAACCGAAAACTTATAGAAAGTAGACAAGTCTTTAACCATTAAGATAAATAAACCATTTGAAAATGTTTATTTTTTCAGTTAAATGTTTATGTAAAGATATGCTTATTTTAATGTTATAGATAATATTTATCTTACTTCAGGAGTCCCACTTTATATTAAGTGGCCTTAACTAATATGTACTTACACATAAATTAATAGTTTGTTACAATGTACTTATTGTGTAAATAAATATATTTACTGTGTACTTATGCTTGATTAAATACATGTATGTAACTACATCTGTAATTACATTTGTAAATACACTGTTGACCATCCCTTACACCTTAATCCACCCTTAAACCTACCCATGCCACCAAACCTGTCCGTAACCCAACCTCTATCCCAACTCAAAAGCACCACAAGTTTTCTCAAATACATTATAAACACAGTAAATACATTGTATTTTTTTTATGTAAGTACACAGTAGTTAAGGACACTTAATTTAAAGTGGGACCAAATGTCATAATATCCAACATTTCTATGACACTAAACTTCCATTTAGGTATATGATTGATCGGCTTTATGTTGGATTTTGTTGGACAAATACATTTTCAAAAGCTTTGAATTTTAGTGTTTACAGTCACTTTTTATAGATGTCGATTTTTGGGCAAAGTGAAAGATTAAGGATTTTTTCATTACTGAAGTTATAAAAACTATTTTTAAAAATCTAAATAAAAATTATTTTGACCAAAGCCATGAAGATCTCTACACACTGCTTATGAGCTAATCTAAAGCCCATATTAAATGTGGAAGTCTCAATTTATTGACTCTGAATCAAAATTTGGAGGTGAGACCCAACCCAATTAGTGTTATTATAGTGTGTTTTATGTGTTTTAATTAAACCGATTACTGCACATCGAAAGCTGTGGCTTAGCTTTAAATGATTTCTTGTTTCTCTTTCAATCTGTTTACCAGTGTCTGAATTAAATTATTTGTTCTTTCACTCGGTCAAGTAGACTAATCAGGTGTAGGGTATAGTGAAGGAGGGTACAGAGTGTGAGTTCTCACACAGCCAAATGTTTTGAGGCTTCTGTTACCTGAACACTTACTTAAAACAGAGTGCATAGTTTTGTACAGAATTATTACTGGTTTAATAAAAATGTATGTTGTTGTCAGGATATCAGCAGTTGTTTTTACAGTGTAGACTCTAACTAATTAAGTTTTTATAGAATGGGCTTAATAATGTATTTTTTTCAATGTTCAGTTTTGTTCAAATGTGTGAACTAGTATGTATTAAGTTAGAAGTTTTTAGTACTTGTAGCTAATCAATAATATCTAATTATAAGTCATTAATAAATAAGGGCGGCACATGGCTCGGTTGGCAGCAATGTTGGGACAACAGCAAGAAAGTACCTAGTTTGAGTCCCGACTGGGCTATAGAAGGCCTTTCTCTGCAGAGTTCTTCCCCGGGTGCTCCGGTATCCCCCACAAGCCAAAGACGTGGTCTACTGTCGGTGAATTGGATAAACTGTGAATTGACCATCATGTGTGGGTAAGAGAGAGTGTAGAGTTCTCTCAGTGCTGGTTTGCGGCAGGAAGGGCATCTACCGGTAAAACATATTCTAAAGTAATTCATTCAACTAAGACGAAACCTGCTGAAGAGTGAGTTAAATGAAGAAATAGTTCATCTTTCTATAGTTTATATATATATAATATGTATAAGTATCTAACAAGTAAGAACTAATAGTGTAAAAATGTATCTTTAAAAAGAAAGAAAACTTAAAGTATACTATATATTATTTTCCTCACAGGTTTTGGAGGCTTTGGAGTGGCATTAGATATAGGCCAGGATCTTATTTAGAACAAAATGAAGCCTATCTTTAAGTGCCATGCAGTATCAGTCTGTAAGAAAACACTTCAAGAAAGTCGTTCTCATAACTTTATTCGCACTTAGTGGCAAATAAGTATGAATACTTAATGAAAATGAAACTAGTATAAAAAATAAATTCTAGTAGACAAGTAGCATGAAAAAGGTACTAGCATGTTTTATAGATTGTTAAATGGATTGTTATTTCCAATTGTCTTTTGGTATCTTCATCAGCATTCCACTGCTGATATGCACAACCATCCTGAAGGTGAGAATGAGAGGACAAGGTCACTGTCACACTCTGCTCCTTCATCTAAAGAGCCAAAGTCAGAGACAATACGCATCATTACTAAAGACCTCATCAGGGATCTCAGGCAAGTGCAGTCACTGTGGATAATTCTTAATTTGCTAAATTAAAGCTTACTTTGAAATTGTGTTGAACATTTTTGCTTTCTACATGTTTATTGCTTGCACGGTCAAAGGACAAGTATTTTGTGTGCAATGTATCTGGTTGCCACAACAACATCACACCCTTAATTGTCTTTAACAGACTTTTAAATCTACATTAAAAATCAATGTCTATCAGCAAATGTGAAAAACAGTAAAAATAGGAATTTTAACAAATTACATAATAATTTAAGCGTATGTCTTTATCTCAGATTTGCATAATTTCACCAGTTGTATTTCACCATTTTTAATCATGCTCTTGGTGTATTGTTCGTTTGAACCAGAATCCCAAGTGAGGACCCATCTGGGCAATCTGTCATTCTTTCCTCGAATGAGTTCAGGCGAATCATGGCAGAGTCTCATGTTCCCAGTGAAGAAGAGAAAACAGCTAGGCTAGAGGCCCAACGCCAAGCACTCGAGGAAGCCATGGTGAGCCAAACATTTTAAAATCTAACTCTGAAATTTGACCTTAGTACTTTAAAATCATACATTTGGACTCTAAAAGTAACAGTAACCGCTGCATTAGTCCCCAGCTACTTTTACAGCAGACCTGCTACTAGAAGTATTTTTACCTTTCTTATTACATGCACTAAAAAAAAAAAAACAGTTCTGAAGTAAATGACAACATTACAATCTTTCATTTGACCCGATTATGTCTTCATGGTGTTTCACGAGTCTTGGTGAAGCTAAAAGTCAATAGTACTGATTGGTGGAATGTTCTTCACAGCCTCATTAATGGTAATATTTTTGCATTTTGCTATTAAAGGTCCCTTGAAGTTCTTTGTAATGTGCATTTTAATTCGATGTTATACAGATCATCATCAACTGAAAAGCAAATGAGAAGCATCTTAAAGAGGCATAACATGTTAGATACTACATTTTAAAAATAACTTGCATCTATACTGCAGCTTACTTTTTTATTACAGCAACTTAACAGACTTTACCACAGAAAGGCTTCTATTTAGAGAATTACAGCATGCGGTGTATTGCAATGTAAAATACTTGTATTTGAAAAAATACATAATCGTCAGTAAGATTTTTAAATGTTTTGAAATACGCGTATCCGGCTCACCAAGGCTGCATTTATTTAACTATAGAAAATTGTAAAGTTGTGAAATGTTATTGTACTCTAAAATAACTGTTCAAAAGTAGTTTATCATTTAATTTAATAATTTATTCCAGTGATTTAAAAGATGAATTTTAGCTTTATTACTCCAGTCTTCAGAGTTGCATGATCCTTCTGAAATCACTCTGATATTAATTATTATAATTATTATTATTGATGGTAATAGTAACTACATAAAATAAGTAATAAATAAATATTTAATAAATAATTATTTAACAATATTTTTTTTTACATTTAATGAATGCCACATTAATGAACAGAATAATTTTCTTTAAATTATTAAATAAAATTAATAATAATAACATAAACTTTTGACCAGCAGTGTATATACCAAATTACAGTAATCTTTTTAAATCTATGTGTAAGGAATAAATTGTTTTACTGTAATTAACAAGCATCCATTGTAAACTTACAAAAAAAGTTGGAATGAAATCAAATTTGACTCTTCTTATTTTTATGTGTATGACGTAGTAGTGCTTGTAATAAACATTTGTGCACTTCAGAATCTTTTATCAAATATCATAACATTCCCAGATCTTTATTGTAAATTTTGTGAACCAGTGTCTGGATACCTACAAAACTTTGGGATTTTGTGCTGGACATTGTCTTTTGCAAAGGTCCAAATATGTTGGTTGCCTGCTTCATCTGCTACAAAGAAAATGTTGGTACAGAGGTGAAAACCCCCTCATGATCTCTTTGTTAAGCACTGTTTTCACTATTTGAATTACTGTACCTAGAATTATCATCAACTATGAACACTTTCCATAAACTGAACACTTTGACGCTGTAGAAAATCTTTATACGAGGCACCAAAGAAATCTTGGACAGTTTACATTCATCTGATACTACGAATGTCAAATTTAATGGAATTTTTGTTTAATTGCTTGGTCTACTAGAGATATCTTGTGATTCCTGATGTGCATTATGCATATGCGTATATGTATGCATGTGCATTTTTGGGGCCTATGAAAGATGATGAGATTTATTGCCTACTGTATAAAGCAGATCTCTGGAGAGTCTGGGACGGTCCTTATAATTTACCTAACATCACCAACTTAGTGCTGCTCATGGACTCCCTCTCTGCCATTTGTCATACACTGAAAAAAATAAATGATTTCTGCAAAAAACGTATATGGATTGAAGTTAAACAACTAAAATTTAGTAAATTTGTTTGTTTAAATTCCACACAAATAAATTGTTTACAACCACTTAACTTTTTTTTTTTTTTGTTAGTCCAAGGAATCATCTTTGAATCACTTTGTCATTGTACAAACAGTAAAAACTGTTATGTCCTTCAGTAAATCTAGTTCTTTTGATGTTGTAAGGATGCTGCAGAGCAGAGGAAAGCACAAATGCGCCAGGCTGACCTATCTCGTCAGAAGAACCAGAACCTCAGTGAGCTCGAAGCTGAGGCGAGGGACCGGGCCCAGTATCTATTGGAACGGGCCAACACCCTGAGAATGGAACAAGAGGACGAAGTCAAGAAGCTCAATGAGGTAAAAAGCACCAGACTAAAATGTCAAACTGTGAGCCACAAGTTGTTGCCAACATGTTGTCTTTCTGCTTGTTCAGCTGATTCAGAAAGTGCAGTGCCATGCTGTCCGGGATGTACAGATTCAGGAGAGGAAACTAAACTCTGCAGAGTGGCTGGCCGAGGAGAAGAGACTGGACGCCATGATGGAGGTGGAGCGCCGCCAGGCTTTAGAAGCTCAGGAACAAATTGAACAGCTTCGCAAACAGCAGAGGATTCAGTAAGCATGCTCACACTCTATATTCTGAACACACTGCAACACAATGTATTGCTCTCTACAGTTAATGGGTGGGGGTAATTAAAGGGGGAAGATGTGCATCATAGACCAGATACAGACACGTCAGGAGGAGAAACTGCTACAGGATGAGATGAAGGAACAGGAGGGTCAGCAGTTGCTGGAAAACATGGAGAGGATGCAGATGGAGGAGCTCAAGGTTCACAACGGAATATCTAAATCACTTCAAATTTCGAGTAGCTGTTTTAAGCCGCAGTGTATTTGAGTTTATTTCTGTGTGTGATGGTACCACAGGGTATAGAAAAGAAAAAGGAGGAGCAGAAGAAATTGCTTCAGGAGATTCAAAAGATAAATGAAGAGAATCTGCTTGCTAAAGAGCAAAAGAAGGAAGAAGAAAGATTAGCAGATCTACGTGCTGTAGAGTACACACGCAATAAATTGGTAAGGAAAGTCTTTATTGCTTTTTCTCTATTTTTTTTTCAAGTGTCTTGGCAGGTCTTCTGTAGTAAGTGTTGTCTGTGTGTGAAGAAACTGCAAGCAGGGCATCGCACTTATCAACGAATGATCCCAGAATGTTCCAAATGTTGCAAAGTGAAGTAAAGACCTTTTAAAATGTTTATCAGATCTTTATACGATCTTTATATGTAGCAGAAATATCCTAGATTCAATTAATGCTAACAAGTTCCAAAGTTCCCAGGGTGCGAATTATACATTGACGAATGGGGGTTAATGTATAATGTATATTTTGGTAATCTTCATTTGCCTAACATGCTTTATTGAATCAAATGAATGTATTTAATGAAATTACATATAATTTCCTAATAAACTTATTCAGGTTTACTTTGTTTTGAGGGATATTTAGTGTATTTCGACCTACAGTAACGTCTGATTAGCTATTTCAGAGGTTACTTTAACTTAAACTATAAAAACTGTGTCTAATTTGACTTTACTTTTGGGCTATATCTAAATACTAACAGCTATTTTACTTGAAAGGTGTATTTTTAACACTTAAGATGTATATCGGTGGTGTATATCTCCCAGATTCAGACTGTTGAATTAGTATTTTTCTCACATAGGCATTGGCTCCATTATGAATCTACAGTGGTATGAACCGCTATAGGGTGGTAAAATGTATATATTATATATTATTTTTTATTATTAAAGGTGCAGTAGGTGATCTGCCAAAATGCTAACCGTTTAGCATATTATCTTTGGATGGCAGGGGAGGGACAGTATTTCAAAGCTACACCTCCTGAAACTGCAAACATGCACACCGCGACATGACAGCAGACAACCCACTAGTTCATGTCATTCGGCAGTTAGAAATGTAGCTAGTGGTTGGCTGGCGATGTGCAGGAATTCACTTATTACTAAGTCACAGTTACATGCTATTTTATAGCGAACATTCAGAGTACCATGGTAAACAGTATAGGGAGGCTGTCATTGTTCAAAAATGAACCATTGTGAATATAAAAGCAACTTCAGCTCAGTAAAGCAGGCTAGGTGGAATAGCGCTATTTACTGACGTTCTGTTGTTAAACTAAATAAAAATCTACATTATCGATGCTGTAAAAGGTCCCTTATGAAACTGAAAATAGTCACATCAATTTTTCGCCAGAAGATTTCAGTGGCTGAGCAACACATCTGTGCATGTGCAGAAGCCCAAATCTGGGGGTCAATCCCCCCAACCCCCCCTGTAATTTGCACCCTGTGTGTACCCTGTCCATTTATGCAGGAAGCTCCCAGTTCAAATAATCAGGTGTGTTTAATAAGAGAATGATGCTAAATAAGCAGAGCTGTGGATCATGAGGACTAGAAATAAGAAACACTTGTTTAAACAGAAAAAAAAAATTAGCTCCTCATCTTTAAAAACAAAAATGTAGTGTAATGTGAAGTGGGACACTGATAAAAAAATGCAGATCCAAACACAGGTTTATTGAGAATGGTTGGACAAGCAACAGTCACAATCAGGAGCAAACAGATGTATGGAGGCAAATCCAGAGTCATAGTAAAAAAAAACAGGCGTTAGGTCAGAACAGGCAGGTAGCAGACAACATAAACAAACACACAAACACGGCAGGGCAAGGAAACCGCGTCCTAATGTCACAAAACTGTGAAACAAGACTCAGCAGCATGTGTGTGTTTGAGAGATGTATATAGTCTGTGTAATTAGTCCTGATTAGTCCTGAATATACCTAAATGCTATGAGAGCCACATACATCTAAGATGTGTTTTTAGGAACGAGAAGCAGAATATGAAGCTGAGCAGATACGAATCAAGAAAGACAAAGAGAAGGAAGTGGCACGACTGAGAGCTCTTCAAGAAAGGGACAGGGACCATAAAGCTGAGCAGGTAAAGATAATATTAATGGATACAGTGCATTTGTACCATATGAGATGGACATTCATGATGGCGGAATTAATTTGATAGTTAATTTAAGTGATTATGGACAGTGTTGAATGGACAGCTTTGTATTTACAGTCTAGATTCTGCATAAATGAGTTTTTTCTCTGAACCGTAAGGATGAGATCAGAGCACGGAGGAACCAGGAAGCGGCTGCGAGGGAATGGAGAAGAAAAGAGAAGGAGCAGGCTAAGAGAAAGCTGGAGGTGGAAGAGAGACTGAAAGCTGCTCGTTTGGAGCAAGTCACTCATAAGGAACACTTGCTGTCCATTGAAGCTGGACGAGAGAGAGCAGAGTTTGAAAGGGTTCTGAGGTACAAACACACAGTACTCATGAAAAACTGAGTTTTGATATATTTACAGTAGGAAATGTAATAAATGGTTACATGGAACATGATTTTTACCTTCTAATGATTTTGACCATAAAAGAAAAATCAATCATTTATACTAATACAATGCTTTTTTGGCTTTGTCTAAAAATAAATAAGTTCAACACAGGACAGGTGTTGTGCTCTAGGTATAAGTAGCTATGATAACAAATGAGCAACTATGATAACAATCTGCTGACTACCAAATAAAGGAATGAAATACTGTGTGGAAAAAAAAAACATTAAAACTAAGGGTGTTTACATGACAACAATGAACTAAAAATGTACTAAAGTTTTTATTTGTGTGTGTGTGTGTGTGTGTGTGTGTTTTATGTGTGTAATATATTTTTTACATACTATGTATGAAAATACATAATTTTAATGTGTATACACTAATATAATGATGATATACAATTTCAGTAATATATCATATTAATAAAAATAATTAATAATATTGGCAAAATGATCCTGGTTGACATGGATTTGTGAATTCTGATTTTAAAATGCTGTGTTTTGTATGGCAGGCAAATGTTTGGCAATTTCACTTTTTAAAGAAACCCTATCTGCAAGTGCAAAAATGATCATGAAGTCATCTTTTGTATTTTGTATTGTATTTTTTTTTTTTTTGGTTATGAATTATCAGTGCATGCCTACAGACTGAACAGATAATACATAGTATCACAAAAAAGTCTGAAGCTCATAATCATTAATTAAGGATTTATTTAATGATGGTAAAATCAAGGAGTGTCTCTCAATCCCAATGTGTATTTATTTTAAGTAAGGTCACTTTTATTCACACAATGTAACACTTTAAACATGGCAAATTAGATGTCATTCATCACTCTCTCCATTTTTATTTGTATTTTTTTTTTTTGTATTTCTATCAGTGTGACTGCTTCCTTTGGTGGATTTTCTTGATTGTGGAGCTTTCAGCTATCCAAGTATTGACTCTGAAGATGTTGAAAACAATACTTTTAAGAATATGAATTAGATTTTCAATAAGAACCTAAAGAAAGGCTGAATGTACTGGAATAGTGCACATAGACTGTAAAATAATTTGCAGGCAGCAAATTTTTACAGGTACAGGCCAGGAAAAAAAAAGTTAAAAGAAGGTCATAACAGGCTAGGCAGAAAGATACAGGAATTTCAGCCACTTTCCAAATAAAGGTTTCACAACTTGATGGTGGATTTATGTGGCTTAAACCATGTGGGTAAAAGCAATAAATATCAGGTTCAAGGATTATGTAGAAGTCCGGGGTAACAGTGTCACTATTCGCGTGAGGGATCCCTCTAGTGCTAAGTGAGAAATAGCACATACGTTATATTCACGGTTATACAGGAAAGAGCCATTTCTCATTCATTCTCAGTGTGAGCTTTCAACTAGTTTCAGTTATACATATGTAAAATAATTCTCAATATTTTAAGTATTACAAAATCTACCCTTAGGTGTGTCAACCTGAAACTTATACAAGCATCTCAAAGATCCATGCAAACCAGAAAGTTTACACTAAGACAGAACATTTTATATTATAAAGTTTAAGACAGAATGGACTAAGATAAAATATTTATGCTTTGTAATCTTTTTCCAGGGCACAGCAGGAGCTCATTGAGAGAGAATATGAAAAAGAGGAGCAGCGGCAGCAGCAAATCCAAAAGCATGCAGATGCTGTTAGGCAGCAGGTTCGGGAGAGAGAGATGCAGGCCGTCACTCAGCGCCGGGAGATGTTCAGAGAGAGAGAACGGCTGGAGGAGGAGGCACGCAATCGCAGAGCCCGACTGGATGAGATTAAAGAAAAGAAGCTCAAGGAACTCAAGTATGTTCTCAACGTAAAACATAAAAGAAAACATGGGGGGTGGGGGGGGTTCAATGTCATGTGGAAACGTCCACTATGGGGATTTCGTCAGAAATCGTAAGTCATCTATAAGACTAATAAAATGCACAGCTGGCAGCAATCACAACCATTCGTAATACCAACTGTGCATCGCAGAGATACCTATTCGCTAATAAAGCCTCACAATACTAAGAAAGTCTTCAGGTTCCTTCAAAACCTCATTCGAAAGAAGAAAAAGAGAAAGGGAACGAGAAAGCTGCCAGTGTTTGACAGACTGTTTCTCCCGGTGAAAGAGTGTGTTCCACGCAGTGGCAGACGTTTGAGCTGGGTATTCTCCCTTGCCTGGGCATTCTCTGGGTACTAAAAAAGCAACACGGTCGTGCAGCTCTTTTTCGTCGTGCGACATCTTTTTCAAGATGTCGTTCTGACTGTGCATTTCTGGATGAGATGGTCTCCTGTCCCCGAAGGATGAGCACGAGCACTGAAGTTTAGAGGTCCAGCATGATAATGCAGTGCTTACGGGCACCGCATGCCGTCACCGCGATGGCATTCTCTGTTGCGCAGCTAAGATTATGGCTTGTTCTTGCAAAAGAACAAACCACCCCTGCAAGTAGGTTGGCCAGTGGCGTAGCAGACGGGCCCGCAGGGCACGCACCGCGGGGGGGGGGCCCCGCGTGATTAAGGGCCCCACGTCGTCGTGATTTTTAATAATTGAAAATCCAGGAACCGCAATAATCAAACTCTTGGGAACAACTGTGGTCGGAACCAAAGTTTACAGGTCTGTGTTCTCTGAACTCCGCTCAAGCGGTGGACTACTTAATTCTAATTGCTTGCCGCTGGACCGCGTCATAGCCAATGAAGACGCGCCGCTGTTTCTCACCACCAGTTCTCGTTAAAAAATGAATGACTTCTGGCTACTTTGACGCTCTCGCCACTTTCAGTTTGTGATCGCTCCTTAGTTTGTAAAGGATTCCCCGCGTTGTCACGCCACCCCGCCTCCTTTCCCCGCTCCTCAATTTGTGACAGAGATATATACACTAGATATCGCATAGGGACCCTGAGCATGCGTCCATAGCGCCGCCACATTGGTACAGTGCTCCCAGGACAAATGTCATTCAACCGCACTAGTCAAGACAGTGTTATTACGTGAAGATGCTGGACTTAAGCGCTGTCTACGAGTGTAGTAACGAGCAAACAAAGGAAACAAAGCACAAAGGCAGAACATTTCATAGGATTAAGTTTTTTACGTTTTTGTATGTTTTGAAATTTGTGCTAAACAGGTCACGTTTTTGATAATAATAGCTATAGTTACTTACTGCATTCACCATAAGGCAAAGTAGCACCAACCCGCACTAAACACTCGGTTTATGCTAGGTTTGTTGAATAAATCAGCAAGCAATGCAAAAGAAATATGACAAAGAGATGCTGCACTGCCAGAAACTTGTATTATTGTCGGCTAGCAAAAGAGTCGTTCATAACGGAGATTCATTCACAAACGAATCGCTCCCTCCGTCAGTATGATTATGTTTCAGCACATGATTAGATCAAATTTAACAGGGAGAGTGAATAGTACATTTCCATACACACAAATACAAGCTTTTTGTCAGGAATGCCCGTGCGATAAGTGATCCATCAATGTAGAAAAGTGATGTCAAATAAAAATTTTCATAATTAAAAAAAATGCATACTAACATCCAGGAAAACTCCCGATCACAGATATATGTGTATATGTGTACATCTATGTGTATATGTGTATACGCCCGTCCCCCAACCCCCCCAACCTCCGCATTTTGCGCTACGCCACTGCGGTTACCACTCGGGCAGATGTGAGGGTTACCGCCCTCAGGCTCTTGGACCCCCCGCTCTTCAGCGCACTCCTTCCAAGCTTCAAGTAAGGGAAATGCTCCATTCTCTTGGATGGTCACCTCTCACTTAATAACACCAAGGATCAGATGTACATCACTGCATCAGAGGGTGGGCTGTCATTATCTGACGAGGATCCAAACCAGTTCCCTCCCTCCAGGGTGGTGATTAAGGCATCAGATATAGAGGCTGATGTGATGGCCGTGCATTCCAGGGCTGCTTCTGCTCTGGGTCTGGAGATTGTTCATCCCCCAGTCCCCCTGTCGGACCATCTAAATGCGTGTTATGCGTCTAGATGCGTGTTATCCCGCCCAAGGTGTGCAAGTTATCTGTGAACCTCAGGGCCAGAGCCTACACAGCCGCAGGCCAGGCTGCTTCTGCCCTGCATGCTATGGCCTTCAAGCACAGGTGTTGGTCCACAACTGACTATGCTCTGCGTACCACCAAGCGGGCTATGGATAAACCTGGCTGATATGTGAGACATTGACATAGTCCGCTTTCTCAGCACACCCTTGTTAGCCAGCAGCTTTGACTGTGTTGGAGGACTGTCTCGCTTCCAGCACAATTGCCACTTGCGCAACCTTTGCCAGCCTGATTAGCGCTGACACAAGCTGCTATTTAGAATGATCATGCAGAGGCGCATCCTCTGATGTGTGCCTCTTCAGGATTGGTTTGCAGCAATAGGCCGTACTTTCATGTTTCTATTCTTCCATGCCACCACCAGTTTCTGCAGTTTACGTTCGAGGGTCGAGGTTGGCAATACAAAATCCTCCCCTTTGGGCTCTCTCTGAGCTTGGTGAAGACTCACGGAGGGTGCCCTAGCACCCCTTCGGCTCTTACGCATCTGCATACTCAATTATCTCAATGACTGGCTGATTTTAGCTCACTCGCGGGATCAATTGATTCTGCCCAGAGACAGGGTGCTTCAGCACCTCGACCAGTTGAGGTTGACCAACTGAGAATAGAGCAAATTTGCCCTGGTGCAGAGAATCTCCTTTCTCTGGTTGGAGCTAGACTCAATCACCATGATTGTGTGCCTCTCCCGAGAGTGCCGAGCTTATGCTGATCTGTCTGAGGGAGTTCGACAGTGGCCTCTTTAAAATTATTCCCGAGGCTCCTGGGGCATTTGGCATCCGCAGCTGCTGTCTTGCCGCTCAGATTGCTCTATATGACATCGCTTCAGCACTGACGTCACAATCAAGTTTCCAGACGTGCATGGCAAGCGGGAGCACACTGAGTAACTGTCACTCTACTGTGCCGCCATGCCCTAAGCCCCTGTATGGGCACTGCATTTCAACAGGCCAGAGTGCCTCTAGAACAAGTGTCCAGGATGTCATCGTCTCGACAGATGCTTCCAACAAGGGCTGGGGGGCCATGTGTTGTGGGCATGCAGCTGCGGGTCCATGGAAAGGATCCCAGTTGCATTAGCATATCAATTGCCTGGAGCTGTTGGCAGTGTATTTTGCTCTCCATCGTTTTTTATTGGTACTAGAGGGGACAGCACGGCGACAGTGGAGTATTTCAACCGTATGTGGAGTTTTCAATTCAATTCAATTCAGGTTTATTTGTATAGCGCTTTTACAATGTAGATTGTGTCAAAGCAGCTTTACATAAATGGTCATAGTAACTGGATCAGGGTAGTTCAGTTTTTAGTGTTCAGTTTAGCTCAGTTCAGTGTGGTTTGAAATCATTACTGAGAGTCCAAACACTGAAGAGCAAATTCATCGATGCATAGCTTTACAGATCCTGAACCATGCAAGCCAGTGGCGACAGCGGAGAGGGAAAAAAAAACTTTACCAATAGAAGAGTGAAGAAAAAAAACCTTGAGAGAACCAGACTCAGTTCGGCACGACCATTTTAATTACTCCGCTGGCCAAAAGTCTTGTGCAGAGCTGCAGTCTCATGCGTGAAGGCTGTAAGCTGGCCTCAGCGAAAACTTGTCTGTCCCTGGAGCATCACTGGAATCAGTCTCATGCTCTCCACTCCCCTATGACCAACAGCGCAGCAGCAGCTCAGGATACGGCCTGGTCCTGGATATGGACACTGTGGGATCAATTCGTCACTGGTCTTGGATTCAATCAGTGACTCCGCATAATCTAAGGGTCTCGGGATGAGTATCCCCTGGTGGAAATGGAGAATAATTAGCGTAGCTGCTGTTTATAGTGTATATAAACAAGATGTAGAAACTTGTGTGGAAACCCGCTAAGTGATGCACTGAGTGTATGCTTTACTTAACAGATAGGTCTATAATCTAGTTTTGAACTGAGAGAGTGTGTCAGAGCCTCTGACATTATCAGGAAGGCTATTCCAGAGTTTAGGAGCCGTAAAGGAGAAGGCTCGACCTCCTTTACTCGACTTTGCTATTCTAGGTATTACCAGAAGCCCTGAGTTTTGAGATCTGAAAGAGCAAGCTGGATTGTAGCGAGACAGAAGGTTGGTTAGATAAACAGGAGCTAGATTATTTAGAGCTTTATAGGTGAGAAGTAATATTTTAAATTTAATATGAAACTTAACAGGCAGCCAGTGTAAGGAGGATAAAATTAATTGATAAGGAGGAGTATCCGCTCCCGCCACATGTCTTAGTTTGCTTGCCGTCTGCTCCTATGGAGTCATATGCAGCTGAAATCGCTGCATGCCATTCACATCCCCGGCAAGCTCAACCTGGCAGCCCAGGAGAATGGAGGCTCCACCCCAAGTCTGTTCATCTGATATGGACGCACTTCAGAGAAGTTCGGAGAAGGTTCGCTCAACATGGATGCACTGGATTACAGTTGGCCTCGGGGCATGCGCAAATATGTGTTCCCCCCAGGGAACTTACTCACACAGACTCTGTGTAGGGTCAGGGAGAACGAGGAGCGGGTCTTGCTAGTTGCACCTCTCTGGCCCAACCAGACCTGGATATCAGAACTCTCCTCTCCTTTACTCCTCCAGCACCCCCCTTCTGGCCGATCCTTTTGTGGAAGGACCTTCTTCTTCATGGACAGGGCTCCATCTGGCACCCACGCCCAGATCACTGGAACCTGGACATGTGTTCCATAGATTGAGCAAGAAGACTTAGATGACCTACCGGTTGCAGTGGATAACACCATCACTCAGGCTTGAGCACCCTCTACGAGACATGCTTATGCCCTGAAATGGAGTTTATTCACTGAATGGTGCGCTTCTCTCTAATAAGAACCCCGGATTTGCCAGATAAGTGTTGTGCTTTCTTTTATTTTAAGGATAGGTTAGAGCAGAGGCTGTCATCTTACACATTGAAGGTTTACTTTGCTGCCATTGCTGCTCATCTTGGTGTGGTGGATGGTGGCACCGTTGGGAGGCATAACCTTATCATCCGGTAGCAAAAAGGCATGAGGGGATTAGATCCACTGCGCACTCCTCTCATGTCTTCTTGGGATCTCTCTGTAGTGCTTATGAGCCTACGCGGAGACCCGTTCAAACCACTCCACTCAGTATCCTTGAGATTTCTCTGTTGATCATGTTGGCATTGATCAAGAGGGTCGGGGACATAGAGACATTTTCGGTCAGTGATTTGTGCCTGGAATTCGGCCCGGCTTTCTCTCTTGTGATCCTGACACCCTGGCCTGGATATGTGTCCAAGGTTCCTACCACACCATTTGAAGAACAGGTAGTGAGCCGGCAAGCGATGCCTTCAAAGGAGGCAGACCCAGCCCTTTCATTGCTGTGTCGTGTTCACGCTCCTCTAACACTTTTTTTCGCTTTCAGCTAGAAAAGGTATCTTTGCGATGCACAGCTGGCATCTTTATACACAAATGATTGTGATTGCTGCAAGCTGTGTACACTGACGCCGCCATTTCATTGGCCTGTTTTTTACTCTTTCAGGTGATTAGCTTCTGACTATCCCCCCCACACCCCTACCCCCCTCCCACATAACGAGGGTTACATAGTAACTGTTTGATTTTTAAGTAATAAATTATTGATTACATACAGGTGAGAAGACACAGTGACCCTTAAAAATAGTTTAGAATACATTTCTTTTCACTGGCAACAACATTTCACACCAAAGTTTAGGGTGATACTTTTAAGGTTGCTATTCTTTAGGAACTAAAGCCAAAATATCCAGGGGAGGAGGCATTACATTTACGTCAAAATGCGTCATTGAAATAATTTGAACCACAGCACATACTTTATGTGAAACAGATTTTAGTGTTTCAATGCATGGTCTTTTGGATGCTTTCCACAAAAGGAAAAGAAAAAGTAGAAAAGTGTAAAAAAAGAAAAAACGGGGTTATACACACTGGGCCTCATTCATGAATGTGGGTCAGAATTATTATTTTATTTATTTTGTGTGTTTGCATGTGTATTTAAGTAAAAATAAACACATCCTGTCTAACTCCTGCTAACACCAGTCACCTCTGAAAAATGCATCTTTATTGTTTAAGTGTCCAATCCCAATGAAAATGCTCCATATAAACACCTCAATCCTAATAAAAATGCTCAAACCAAATGAATTTGTACTCGGTTTGAGAGAGGTGGGATAAACCTTTCTGTAACCCGAATAAAATAAATATTCAGCAATGTGAAAGATTTAAACCAATTACTTTGCTTCTACGTCACAATTTTCCTTTAAAAAGATTGTGCTTCAGAAATAATTCAACTGAACTTATATAGACAGAAAGAAAGCCAGAAAACAGGACAGACGGGTGTGTGCATTCCATATTAAAGTGGGCATGTAAACAACATATCGAAATAGATAATGTCTAATGCTACTCAGACCTGAGTAGCATGAAAAAGGCTAGTGCAATTTGATGGGGTCAAAAAGGTGGCACAGTGTTTAGCACTGTCTTCTCACAGTAAGAAAGTTGCTGCTTCGAGTCCCAGCTCAGCCAGTTGGCATTATGGTGTAAAGTTTGCATGTTCTCCCTGTGTTTATTGAGGGGTTTTGATAGTGATGTTAGTGATCTCGAAAATGAAAAGCAAGAGGGGTGAATAGGGTGGGTTGTGGGGGGATGGGGTTATGGGGGTGGTCGATGATGTGATGATGAGTTGGTATGCACCCTACTCCCCTGATTCTGACAATAGTCCAACATTTCCAAATAGTCATAAAGGTCAATAGCAACATCTGTTTGAACACAACTTTGCCTTGTGCTTTCACTGACCCCCAAAGCACACAAACAGCTGCTTAGCATCTCTAAAGCTTTGTGTGCAGTCCACAAAACGAACAAGACGCAGTGAATGCAAAGTTGGGTCTGTTTCCTCTAAAGTCATCACTTACATTACTTCACTATCTGAGCTTGCACCTTAGTGGTGGAAACTTATGTAGGCTGATGTCTCAGAATAATGTGAGTCTTGGTTGGCCCAAATTCGAGGCACATCACATTGAACAAAAATACCTACACGTCCCTTTTGGCCCCCCTTTATGGTTAAGTGCCTTGAAGGTATCTACAGAGAGATCTCAAGAGTATACAAGAGGGTTGTGAGAATGATGTTCAGGTAATGTTTCCTGTCTGATCAGCCATTAACAGTGTTGTAGTAAACAGTGATGAAGGTGAATAGCTCTCCTCGCAACTTCTGCAGAAAAAAGAAAGAAAGCATAAGACAAAAAAGGCATATTCTGGAGTCTTCTCAGTATGAAAAAAAACACCAATCAACCCTCTTCAGGCCACAGGCTCACTTCTTTTGAACTATTTTTCAGCTGCTTTCCCACTATGTCGAACCATTCTAAGAACAGCAGGTAAAAAAATTCTAATTACACGCCTTGTCCCAATGGTGGATTTAGAGGGTTTTGCATTAAAAGTAGACATGGATTTAGTTGGTTTTGATGCAAAAGAAAATCTACTTTGTTAAAAACCAAAGATTTGTCTGAAGTGAAATTTAAAAAAAAAAAAAAAAAAAAAAAAGAGCAATTCCAGCGTTATGGATTATGACATTTGCAGTAAAATCTCTAAACATAAATTAACAGAGGAAGAATATGTTAACATTATATTAAAACATCTTTAAATTTTTCAAAACAACTAGCCATAGAGTTGTGGGAGCAGAAAAATTTGAATCTGTAAACGTTTTTTATATTTTAAATTAGGAAAAAAAATGGGGTTATCCTAATTAAGCCTTTAAATGTCATTTTAAGCTGTATAGAAGTGTCTTAAAAAATCTACTAAAATATTATTTAGTGCCATCATAGCAAAGATAAAATAAATCAGTTATTAGAAATGAGTTATTAAAACAAAATAAATAAATAAATAAATAAATTAATTAATAAACAGGTGGTTATTGTTGTTGCCCAGAAAGTACTACTTGTCAAAAATCATTCAATAAGCACCCATTAGTAAAAGTGCTGTGTTATGCAAAACTAAATTAATTAAAAAAAAATCTTTATGATATAGATTATGATAGATTACCCGCTGTAAACTATTTATTTATCAAACACACCATATAAAACCCAAGCACTGAATAAGCATACTATTATTAATGTACTGACGCAGGTTATTGCTGGTTGCATAAGGTTGACACCCCCTTGCATAATTTTTTATATGTATGCAATACTTACAGAAAAGTAAACTGTAAATTCAATATAGTTGCGTGGTACTTTGCGTGTTGAATATGTTGTTGTTACTTCCTTATTACCCAAACATTACGGTTTGTTCATTTGCACTTTATAGAAAAGTACACTGTAAATTCAATATACACTGTACTTTGCATGTTGTATATCTGGTTGTTACCCCCTAGTTACCCAAGCATTACAGTTTGTTTCCTTATACCTACACATACGTTCTTTATACTTATACTATACTTACAGAAAAGTAAACCGCTATTTCACTGCAATTTGCGGGTTGTAAACTAAAGTGTTACCAATAATTACACTTAAAGATAGCAGGACTAAAAAACATTTACTTTTAGAAGATTATTTGAAGCACATTAGCTGTGAACATGTTCCCATTAGCAATGTTCTTCTTTTTGCTATTAACATTTTAAGTGTCCAGGTGCATTTTTTAGACCCTGTATTTTAGAAAGAGGATGTGAAAAAAAAATACAAACACAAAAGCTTGAAATATTGGTGATTTGTACAATGAAAAAATAAATGTTTTTCTGGGGTCATTTAATTGTCTTGTCTGTTTTTATTAATTGTTTCTTCTGTGAATTGACCTGACCTGTTTTGGAAAATGTGTTTTTCTTTTGACTCAGGGCAGCTGGGCTTTCACCCAAGTACTACAAGGAGGTGGAGCGGAAGGCTTGTGTCCTTCCATGACTTTTAAACTGAGGAGGAGCAGAAGCGAGAGAAACCACCAAGTATACAAAAAAAGGAAATGTGGTTTTCAGTGACGGTAAGACTCGTGTGAAAGAACTGAATAAACATAAACACATTTGACACTCCTATCTGGCTGATGCAATATGACTGCAACATAATGACTTTTGATGCCAAAAATCATTCTTTGTTGATGTAGTGCAATTTAATCAACCTCTTATGAAAAATCTGTACATGTTACTGCAGTTTAAAACAGAACACTGTATTACAAAGATAATATTCTTAGTATATGAATTGCAAATTAGTTGTAATATTTCAAGACATGTCATGAATTATTTGTAGTTGGGTAAAGTTGTGTTTTTTACCCATTTAAGTACAGTGGGTCTTAAGCACATCTTTATATATAATTTCATAATTATATGCTGCTGTTGGCTTTAAAATATGGTTAAAGTGTAATGTACTGACAAGCATTCAAGAAATAAAGGATTATTAAAATGTAAATGTTTTAAAGTGTTTTCTTAAGTAACCACTAAAAAGTATATATATATATATATATATATATATATATATATATATATATATATATATAAAATCCTGGAATGACCTAATAATATTCAGTACTGGGATAAGGTTTTAGGCCACCATCACACTTTTTTAGTGATGATATAATGACCATTTGTAATCATTTTTATTAGAATACAATCAGAAAATAAGGGTAAAGGGTTTTTTCATTAAAAAAAAAAAAGTTTATTCTCAATTTCCATTACAGGACATATTCAGTATACAACTGTTCACATTTAATCCACTGGTTAATTTGATCTGTGACCATCTGCCATCAATACTCACTAGGATATGAGTAATTATTGCAATATGAATAATTGAACAATAAGTGATATGAATAATTGCAATATAATTATTATAATGCTATTTATACACAATCAATCAAACAATCAGTCAACTTAAGCAAAACTAATACTAAAATTCTTTTAAATTTTGTTTTGTAGTTCGGGGCCAAGTAAATATTTGCTGCCGTTTTTAATCATTTAAGTTCATTTAATTGAATATATAAAAATCAGTGGATATTATCGATGCATTTGTTGGGTAAAATTGCTACTTTTTATTGCCATTCATCGTGTTTTTGGTCATCATCAATGTAATGCCACTTTAAATGACCGTGAGTAGCATGTCAAAAATAGACCCAGCACCAAAACTATTGTGACACTGCTGCTTTATCGACGATCACGCTTCGCACTGACACGCTGCTTCTGTGTGCAGTATAAAAGCTCTAATCTGTTAACATGGATGCTAAAAAGACACGCGCTGCTCATGCTTGCTGTGTAAAACAGGCTTTTGACAGATGGCTGAAGGTCAGAAAACTTTGGCCACTTTAAATGGTCAACGACTGTTCACCAGTGGCGCCTGCAGCCGTACGGCTGTACGCACTGTGCGTACCTACCATGAGAGGGCAGGAATTAATGGCGCTTATTTATTTATTTATTACATCATTTAAATTGATTATTAAACAGTATAAACTACAATATAGTGACAAATCAAGAAAGAATGAGAATAAATAAAGGTGTACGTTTGTGTGTTTTAAAGTGTGTATGTACTTGCATGGTGGAAGATGGGTAAAGAAATCTATTGGCTTTAGTTTTGCTGGCTGTTTTTCTGCACACTAAAAATTAATTCAATTCAATTCAGATAGCTATTGTTTAAAACAAGTTTTTTTTACGGAAATGCTATGTTGAAACTTCTACTATGGGAATTTCATAAGAAGCCAATCATCTGAAAGAGCAATAAAACGGGCCAATGAAATGCCAATGAATTGGTGGTGTCAGCGTACAAAGCTGGCAGCAATCACAATCATCAGACAGATCAGATCCAGCTGCTGTGCAGCCTCTTCGTATGGAACGGAATCATTCAAGGTGTTTTAAACAATTTTATCTGACAGACTGGCATAACTAAGCAGACATCTCCATTCTCATAAAGAGTTTCTGAGTTTTCTCACCCTTCCAACCGAGTTTGTGCCACCGAGGTAATGTGGGAACATGTTCAGTGTAGTTGTAAATATTGTAAATGCCTGTCCTGCTTATTCAAATTGTTTGATTAAATTAAATTGTAATTGACTGGAGCAACATGGAAAATTGTTTAATATAGGCTTCTCTGAAATTGAATATTTCACTTTAATTTTATTTAGGCTAGATTATTATTTCATTGACAATCAAGTTCGTGATTTGGTATTGTTGAAGCATAGGCCTAGCGGATTTGTTTTGATGCACTTCACCTCAAATGTTGTTTGTTTTTCTATTTTATTTAGAAGATAACTGACCAAGAAAAATATGTAAACAAAGAGACAAACTATATACGAAATTCATTTTAAAAGATTTTTTTTCCAAGAAAAATGTACAAATTATATTTTGTTTGAGCCCGTCCACTACTCAACTTCTGCGGATGGATGATTTTCAGTCAGTGAAGAGTAAGGATTTTATTGTTGGTTCACTAATTGAAATGTATTACAATCTTCTGTCATATATTTTCAATTTATATATATATATATATATATATATATATATATATTCTTCATTGTTGCTGATGTGCTTTAATTACATTTAGATTTCAACAAAAGATTGAAATTAAAAAGGAAACAAATTATGCCGTAAAGAATGCCTTTGAAAAATCCTGGAGCCGCTCCTGCTGCTCACAATGCTATTTGACTAACAGGTTATCCAACCAGTCACGTTTCCTTTTGTGCTGTGTGATGTTTAAGGTTGTGGAAATATTTACAGAGTAACAGCCCAGGCGGCACGCAACCATGCATCATTTATTAACTAGCCTCTTTAAAATGTACAACAATGACCCATCAATATGCTTAATGATCTGTCAGCAAAACATATAGGAAGTAGTAGGACATTGATTATTTTGTTGATGAATTTTTAAATAAAGCTCACGCAGACTGGGATGACAATTAAGTGAAAGTTTCCATTGTTCTATAAATGCAAATGATGTATTTGTGGAATAATGTATTTATGACCAACATTACACAATATCAAATTTTTTTCTCTGCCATTAGAAAAAAAAGAAGTATTAGCATACCTGCGTGCAACAAAACGGGTTGAAGCTTTTATGCAGTGAGTTTTGCATACTTTTAATAATCCTGCATTCACGTCATGTAAGTAAATGCTAATCGTCACAAAGTTATCCCTACAATAACAGACAGGTGTGTAGGCTGTAAATTACTCAATCACGAGTGTCTCAAATTTAACTAGGAATTTTAAGAATCCTGCATGTAAAACATCTATTAATGAGCATCCCAGTTCTTTTTTTTTTTTTTATTGATTAAACTTGTTTACCGGCTGGTTAAGACTGTTGCAAACTCGACTCCCAAAAATCAGAGGATAACTGAGTATCTGCTGAAGTGTTTCCAGAAACGCTGCAGACATCTGAGGCTGAGAATAAATAACATTCAACTTTCGAATTCTAGTAGTGAGGAAATGTCACAATTATTTCTAATTTCACTAGATTTCCAGCATTCACTGAGCTCCTGAGAGCTTCCCATTCTTTCACAAATGTTTGAAGATTTTCTACAGATTTTCTACATGGAAGTGATTAAACAATGTTATTCAGTTATTTAGAGGGGTGTCCCAAAACATATGGCAAAATATTGAAGATCAAATTTTATCAAAAAGTTTGTGGAGATTACATGACTAATTATCAACCATGAAAAATGAGTTAATCTATGAGTTTGTGACTTATGAAGGTGCATCCACTCCAGAATAATTATGTAATTTGGCTCTGGCTGCATTCTGTACAAAATACTAGAAAGTAATCAGAATATTAGCTTCTACTTTCTTCTTGCTCTATTTGAAACTATTTTAAATTGTTCTTTTTTCGATCATGAAGTTCTCAGCTTGTGATTAGCCAGGATATGTCCAGATGTTAACAGTGGACCTCATAGGCAGTAGACCCCTGAATGACCTGTTTTGATGTCCTCCCATTGAGTTTTCCTACACGGAAGCATGAAAAATGAAAGAGCAAAAGGGTTTGTGTTGCCAAGAAAGTTAGGAAATGGAAAAGGAGGGGGCAGAGATGTCACGCTGATTCATGGAATGCAGCAAATTATACATGATGCATGCAGCATGTGATAAAAATTCAAAGGGAAAACTTTGCCCAAAGCACCCACAGTCTCATTATGGACAATAAACATTTAATTTTCACAGAACTTAGATTGGGTTAGATTCAACTTTATTGCCAATGTGCAGAGTAAAAATGAAATTCAGTTAGCATTTAGAAGTGCAAATAAGAAGGTTTATTCATCCATTCATTTTCTTTTTGGCTTGGTCCCTTCATAAATCAATGGTCGCCACGGTGGAATGAACCGCCAACTTATCCAGCATATGTTTTACACAGCAGTTGCCCTTTCAGCTGCAACCCATCAATGGGAAACACAATACACTCTAATTCACACACATACACTACGGACAATTATGGACAATTTAGACATGTACCACATGTCTTTGGACTTGAGCGGGAAACCTGAGCACCCGGAAAAAAAACCCTCATCAAAACGGGGAGAACATGCAAACTCCGCACAGAAATGGCAACCGACCCAGCCGAGGCTCGAACCAGCGACCTTCTTGCTGTGAGGCGACAGCACTACGTACTGCCCCACCCTAAGAAGGTGTGTAAATTACAAATGGTCAATGACCAGTGCAAATAGCATTACGATATGATAGAATAAAATAGCAAAATATGAGCAGAGAAAGTAGTGTGTGTGTGTGTGTAGTGAGAATGAGGTTATTGTACAGTGCATTTTTAAAGCATTAGATGATCCATCAAGGGAAATGTTCAACACCTGAAATTCAAATTTAAATGTTAATTTGCCTGAAATTCAGTTAAATTTTAAAATAATAAGAAAACATTTTACTTATATATGTGCTTTTCTAAAACCAAAAGCTCTTCAACAACAGAGAAGTCAAACATGCAATTACATGCAAGGATTCAACACAGAAAAAAAATTATATAATATAAAAATACATTAGAATGTTTAGGAATCTAAA